AGTTAGCATCAACACAGGAACCATGGGGGGGCCTGCAGGAGGCAGGCAATCGATGATATTTCTCTCTCATCGATGTTTCTATCTCTCCATCCCTCTCCCTTCCTCTCTCTCAATAAAAAATACATATATATATATTTAAAAAAATAAGTCACACAAAGAAGAGTCATGTTGTTCTCAAGCTGAGAGTGACAGGTGCTCTAGGGAGATGCACCCAATGCCGTAGGGCAGGGGTGACATGAGCAGGAAGTGACCTGGGAACTGAAGGAGCAGGAGTCAACCAGAGGAAACACAGGGAAGGGTGTTCCAGCAGAGGGAACAGCATGTGCAAGGACCCAGTGGAGGGAAGGCATGGCGACAGTGGTGTGGAGAGCGAGCTGACGACGGTGTGACGTTGGGGAGAGAGGAAGTTAAGGCAGGAGATGCTGGCAGGAGCTGGGCCAGGCAGGACCTGGTGGGCAGGGTTGGGGGCCACCACCCTCGGCTGCGGTGGAGGAGAGAACAGGCGTGTCCCACCCAGAACCATCGTTACCTCCTCGGTTTGGGCTTCAATCTTCCTGTGGGTGAGAGCTTCCAGCAGGGCCGACGGCTGGACCCCCAGGAGCTGAATAAATGGAAACCAAGATGAAAGCCGCTCAGTGACCTGAGCTGACTCACAGCTTAGGAAGAGTTCGCGGAGTTTCCAGGCGCAGGGTTACCTGCCCCGAGTGATAACTGAGCTTTAATGCAAAACAGACCACGTTAGAGCTTCCAACCAACTGGCTTTTACCCTCGCCCCCCGCCACCCTCACCCCCTGCATGCTCACACCTCCTAACCAGCACCAGCTGCAAGAACATGGTGTTAGCCACTGAAACATGGGCATCCAGCTGCCTTGCTCCCCCAACCCCCACACCCCCACACACACATCCCTCCCATACCCCCCCACACCCCTCACATCCCCGCCCCTGCATCCCCACCTCTGAAGGCAAGCATCACCTTGGCGATCCACTTGATCTCGTTGATGACTGGAATGGTGGCACAGCCCTGGTGGTTCTCTCTAAAACAGACGTTCCCCAGGTGCAGGATGCTGGCAATGATTCCAAAGAGGTTCTAGGAACGTGGGAGGTGGTGAGGAGGATAAGGAGAGAAGCCGCAGCCGCCTAATCGATATGTGTCATCAGGGGAGGCACCGGGACAACCACCCCCACTTCCGGCCGGGAGCTCACAGGTCAGAATGCCTTCCTTCCCCAGACCCCAGCCTGAGTCACTCCAGGTACTACGGTGGCGGGGGAAGAGCCACCCCCAACCTCCATCCTCAGGGGAGGGTGGGGAAGATGTCCCACTCTATCTCCTGCCCAGGACACTCGAACTTTTACACTCCCCCCGCCCCCCCAATAAACCATTTAACATTCAAATGCCACGGTCCCTGATATACAGATATGTTGGAATCCTATTCTGGCCCTAGAAATATCAATAGTTTAGCCATACAAAAAAGACCAAAAGATGTAGGATTTGTAAACAACGTTTTTACAAGTTGTCCGTTTGTTTCGAAATAGAAGAGGAAATAAATAATTCTATGGGGATTCATTATCTACAAGAGTCCACGAGATGTAAATGTTTGTGATTGTATATATAAAGTCATGCCATCCACAAGTATTGACAGTTTTACTTCTTATTTGCCAATCTGAATGCCTAGGGCTGCCAGGAACATGCAGAGCCCCCATCAGCTGTGACTCCCACATAAGCAATGACTAATGTTGGGGTGTCAGCCAGTCCCGTGTGCAGTTGGGATACACTTATACCGACAAAATGAGTCCTCGCCTTGGCCGGTGGCTCAGCTGGCTGGAGCACCATCCCGTATACCAGTGATGGCGAACCTATGACACGTGTGTCAGAGGTGACACGCGAACTCATTTTTTGGTTGATTTTTCTTTGTAAAATGGCAAAGAACATATAAACATATGTTTATAAACATATAAAATAAATATCAAAAATATAAGTGGGATACACTTATACCGACAAAATGAGTCCTCGCCTTGGCCGGTGGCTCAGCTGGTTGGAGCACCACCCCGTATACCAAAGGCTGCGGGTTCGATCTGCGGGTGGGCCACGTACAGGAGGTGACCCAGTGATGTCTCTCTCTCTCTCTCTCTCTCTCTCTCTTTCCTTCTCCCTCTCCCTCAAGTCAATAAACATATCCTTGGGTGAGGATTTTAAAATATACAAACAAATAAATAGTCATTGTTTACTTAAAATTAAGCTATAACTAGGCGTCCTGCTTTCCTGCTGGCTGAATGTGACCACCCGCCCAGGCAGCCACCAGGACTGTCCCCACAGCTCCAGGCCTCCCAGGGCGCCTGCCCGCACCCCAAAGGCTGCAGGTTTGATCTGCAGGCGGGCCACATACAGGAGGTGACCCAGTGATGTCTGTCTGTCTGTCTCTCTCGCTCTCTTTCTCCCTCTCCCTCTAAAGTCAATAAACATATCCTTGGGTGAGGATTTTAAAAATAGACAAACAAATATTAATTGTTTACTTAAATTTAAGCTATAACTAGGCGTCCTGCTTTCCTGTTGGCTGAATCTGACCTCCCACCCAGGCAGCCACCAGGACTGTCCCCGCAGCTCCAGGCCTCCCAGGGCGCCTGCCCGCACCTCCAGGTCGTCTTCAGTGAAATCGATGACAGCAAAGGCATTGGAGACGGTTTTCCAGTCGTTCCTGTCATTCATAGACGACTCGCTGGCGCCATGAGCCTGCTGACACAGAGTTGGGTTGCGTAATGGCACTTGTACACGGATAGTGAATAGCTGCTCCTCCCCCAGAATGCTTTTCTCCACAAGCATGTGAGCGCCGGGTCTATAGGACGTTCTGAACGTGACTTTCCCTCCAACACCCAAGCACGGGGTGACCTGCCAGCTGCTGCTCTATTCCGACGTATGTGGAAGTTTAGTTCACAATCTCCATCCTGGGAAAACTTCCCAAGTCACATACTTGTGGTATTTCCTTTTGTGTGTTTTTTAAAAGGGTTCTTCTGGCTATTTTTGCTTAAAAAAAAATTGAAGACACATCTCAATAAACACCTGCTGAAGGGTAGGGGGACATGACAGTGAAATTCAGAAAATAATTTGGACACGCTTAGCCACCACCAGCCAAACCGTGACGGCAGGAGACACTCCCTCGTGGAAAGAAACGTTGGGCCTTTAGAGAGAAACACAGTTGTGCAAACATGGTCACCAGCAGAAGCGTGACAAGTCGTGTCTCACTCACTCGAGAAGCTGTCTTTTAAATAAGTAACAGATCGCTGAAACCGGTTTGGCTCAGTGGATAGAGCGTCGGCATGCAGACTGAAAGGTCCCAGGTTCGATTCCAGACAAGGGCAGGTACCTGGGTTGCGGGC